TCCTTTCGGGCTTCTCCTCAAGGACTTTAAAATGCGTCTGGTAGAGAAAGGTTTCCACACCCATATAAGGAATGCTTCGTTCTCCTCCCCAACCGTCTAGACTTGGTGAACAACCAACATTCTGACCAGAGTTCTCCTACGAAAACATACCTCAAAACTCTCAACAAGCCCTGGAAGAAAACTACGACGAAGTGCCTCTCTTGTTCGACTCTCTATTCTGCGCCAGGCATTCAAGAAAGCCATTTTGTCAGCATCGATATGACCCCTTCTCCTAGCGGATGAGTTCTCCAAGACTCCAATGAGCTTAGCCTAAAAAGAAGATCATATGACCCTTTAATTTCAAATGCACATCACCCAGGCCCTTCTTTGGGTTCTTTGGAAGGAACATAACCAACAAAAAATTTTGGACAAGAGCCTTTTGTAATCACCAAGGATGTTCTATCCTTATCCTTTTTGTAAATGTTGTATATCAATGAAATTGTTTCTTATAAAAAAAAACAAGAGAAAGGTTTTAACTCTATTGAAGTTAAAAAGATAAAAATTATAATGGTAACATGAAAGCCAAAACAAAACCTCTTTATCCATGTCAATACTCCTGAATTTGTCCCAGTCTTCTGCGTTAGTCATGGAGAACGTTGTGGGCCGTACATCATCACCTGCAAATTAATCTCAAACCATGATGAATCCTTTCACCAGAGTGAGGAACTTCTAGGCTCAAGTAAAAGGATCAATAAAAATCAGCATAGGAGAGATGAGAGCAGATATAGCCATTACCCCTAAGAGTTAGCAATAAATCCACTAAATATGGGGGGAAAAAAATGTCTTGCACAAATCAACTCAGAATAACATCAAAAAGAAAATAACCAAGAACCGCATACGACAGTTAAATAAGCATAATGAAAAATGCAAAACCTCGATTGCTAAACATGGCTAACAGGCTACGAAAATTCTTACTGGCGCCGAGTCCTATAACCTATCAACTGGCAAATTTCAAAATACCACTAGTTAAAATATAAGGCTAGAACACTTTCCAGGATCTAATTATCCAAAAATATCTACTTCATTAACTTTCCCAGTAATCTTATGATTGAAAGTGTATGATCGAAAGGTTCTGGTGGTCTTTTAAGACAGGAGTTACGAACTTTCCTTGGTTGTAATGAACGAACGGATAGTTCCATTTTGTACTTTGAATCCTATAATGTAAGATGACACGAAGCGATGGAAAAACAACTCTAATTTCAAAAATATTAAGTATCTATATCACAGATATCTCATCACAACTTGCATAATATGAAAAGATTCTTTAGATGCATTATATACCCCAAGGCGGTGGAGCAAACAAGCCTCTAATTTCCTCGGCATTCAAACGAGGAACAAGCTCCATTAAAAGTCGATCGTTTAACCATCTGCGAGACTTCCTATTAGTAACCTGATAATAAGAGAGCTATCATCAGTATCACACAGGTAGAATTCCAACTTCCAATTAGAGCATAGATAGCAAATGCTAGACACAACTTTGCCACATGAAAACTACTCCAAATGAATCTGCAAAGGAGACCATATTTTGGCATGGAAAACAATCCATAAATTTTGGTAATATTTCTTCCTTAAGTAACCATATAAATGAACTTCCAGTTCATCCAAAGCACATTGCAAAAGGATTATGTTGCATTAACAAAGCTAAAGACAAGTGAGCAGTTCACAGAACAGTCCTGAGGGAAGTAATTAAGCTCTAAGAAGATCATTCAGAACCGACCTTTCCAGTCAAGCTCTCCAGAAATTCAATCTTTTTCTCGATGGACATACCCCGAGAATTCTCATCGCCTGTGAAAGTAATCCAATAAGATAGTCAGAGAGAAACATAAATCCATAGAGAAAAATTTTAAGAAATCGTATCATCGAAGCAGAAAATTATTCAAATGTGTATTACTAAATCTAAATAAAGGAGCGTTTATTAATCGGCAAATGCTATTATAATTAGAAGAAGAAGTACCTTTAATTGGATCGCTGAGAGGGGAAAAGGTGAAACGATTCTGTTCTTGGTTAAGAACATCAGTGGACGCCATGATTGGAGCAGAAACTGAGAATCCAATCGAAGCGCAACTTGTACTTTTAGGCCGTGTCGGATGGGATGGAAATTTCTATTTCGGAGGCTGATTCGCGCTGGATGAACAGACGGAAAAGGGAGAATCGGAGAAGGATGAAGATGAGGGAGATCAAAAAAGTAGGGCAAAATCGAATCGAAAGCTTGAAAATGGAGGAACAATCAAACAGAGGCCCTAGAAATTGAAAGAGGAACAGAGAGAAGGATTAGATTCGGGAGAATATTCTGTTTCAGATAGGATTGAAATTGAGAGAACGTCTTTCTCCGCCGCTCACCGCCACCGAGGCCGATTCCCTAAATGACGAAAATGCCCTTCAGACGACAACGGAATGGCAGACCCGACCCGACCCGACCGTCATCACGGTCGTGATCCGACCAATTTTGACGATGTTTTTAGGGGATAACGTGACTTGGTATTCTTACTAAATTAACCTTCCGTACAAGATAAGTGTTTGAAAAAAAAAAAAAAAATATTTATTTATTTACATAAATAAAATAAAAACAATAATATATACTTTTATTATATTTACCAAATTTTAATTTAAATAGAAATGAAGATTTTTATATTCTCAAACGAACACGAAATCTCTAATCAAAATTTCATTTAATTTTCCGTCTCTAAAAGTGGGAGATCCCACATCGGTCAGAGGGAGAACGGATAATTCCTTATTCGAGTATGAAAACCTCTTCTTACTAGACACGTTTTTAAATCGTGAGACTAACGATGATATGTAACGGGTCAAAGCAGACAATATCTACTAACGGTTTGACTTAGACGATTAAAATAATAATAATAATAATAAATTAAAGTTTCCCGATCAAAATGATTAATGAAAAAGTAATTAAATTGATAGCAACAAAAGAGTTTGCATTATATTTTGCTTTATTGAAAGTATTTATGATTAGTAATTTTCTTTTAAAGTCATATTCATATCTCTTTATGTTAATTTCATTGACATTTGATGTATAAATTTCATAAAGTTAATGGAAAAATGAGAAGATTTAAATTAACATCCTTCTTTTGAATTAATTGTTCTCGGGGTAGTTAGAGTTTGACCAGTCAGTTCAGACGTTTTTTAGAACCAATTATAATATTTTTAATCTAAATAACTTTTATTAAATAACGAACGTGACGTAACCATAAAATAACTGGGTTGAGTTGGTTTTAGTTGTTCGAGTAATTTATTTAAAATTTTATTTTCAATAAAAAAAAATAAATGTTCTAATTATTTATTTTAAAACATTGAATTAAGATTTGCAATTCAATTTTAAAACGAGTTTTTTGAGTTATGAGATCTTTTGAACACTCCGATCCTACCTATCATAACGTGGCAGCATCCTAATAATCGTTCAATTAACGTTGAAATCTCTCGAGATTCACATTGCTCCTATTGAAAAAGAGAGCTACGACTCATATCCATATGATACTCATCATCAATCTCATGCTTTATTTTGGTGAACGTGTTCCGATTGACAGTGATGATGAGTATGAAGGTTGGTACATACAATAATACAGTGCATCTTCCTTTTTAGTGGCACGATCGTAAGAACTTCAAAGTTAAGCATGAGCAGTTCTCTGTTGGATCACGCCTCGAGAATTTTCTTAAAAAACATGCAGTGATGACAAAATATGTTAAAATGACTCGTGTTGGCTTGTGTGAATAGTTTTTACTCTTAAAAGTGAGAGGTAAACAGCATGACGATGTTGCAACGAAATACCGAGGTCATTAGTTATCGAATCTGGATTTCGATTCCTGATCTAAATCATGGACGCGAAACGATATCTTAGTAGAGAAATAATTTAAAATATGCTTTTACAATATACTTTAAATTGCCCTTTTTGAATATGTTATGGAAGAACCATATCTACACAACACATATCATGGGTTATATCAAAGCAACAACTTGGCCAAGGGAATCAAATTGGGTCTTACACTAAAAAAAAAACGATCGTTGTCACGCATCGTACGTTGAAAGGACTAAAAATGTTCTTCAATTATCACAATTATACGGCTAAAATTATCTGATTACGAATTTGAAGTGACTTTTACCAATGATCGTTCGATTCTTAACTGATCAAAATCAAATATAACTTTTGGGCTTTTAGTGTGTTATAGTTGTAATTAATATGACAGATGAGAAAATTCCAAGGGTCTGGAATTAGCTGTACATCAGCAAAATATTAGGTTAAAAATTCTAATAGTTTCGTAAACTTTCCATTCTACGTACAATGTCATATATACACCTGACCTAGCCCAAACCCACCACTAGTAAATATTGTCCGCTTCAGCCCATCACGTATTGTTGTCAACCTCTAAGTTTTAAAACGCGTCTACTGGGGAGAGGTTTACACACCCTTATAAAAAATATTTCGTTCACCTTTTCAACCGATGTGAGACCTCACAATCCACTCCCTTTCGGATCCCAGTGTCCTCGTTAACACACCGTCTGGTGTCTTGTTCTGATATCATTTGTAACATCTTAAGTCCACCTCCAGTAGATATTGTCTGTTTTGGCCCGTTTAAGAATCTACTAGACTACTTTCAAGTTCACGGGTTAAATTTTTTTCGAACTAAACTTGTGATTTAATCAAAATCGGTGCAGAAAATATTGCAATCAGTTCAAAGATTGAAAATGTTGGCATTTAAAAACTCAATATTCGAAAGTTAAAAAAGGAGAAAAAGTCATATATTCTTATGCAAATTTGCCATTACTCTACCGCATATAGCTCTATCAAATCAATCATTCCAAGTACCTTTATGAGTTTTATATTAATTATTATCATAAAAAATAATAAGCGGTTGCTCAAGATATGATATGATAGCCACTCCACAAATGAGTATCATCTTCAAAGATTTTGAGTACACATTTGAATATCAAGTCTATAAAAGGCATACCCCTCCTTGACCCATAACACATTGCAAATTCTACTCATTTTACTTCAAAACTTTCAAGAGAAAGAGAGATTTAAACACTAAATTTGCCCTTAAAAACTTCATTTTTGCTCCAAGAACACATTTTTTTGATCAAATTCTCTCAAAAGGTGATGCTTCTCTCTCTATATGTTCTTTTTTTTTTTTTTTTTTTTTTTTTTTTTTTTTTTTTTTTTTTT